ATAAAGAAGCAATTAATTTTGGGGTCCCTCAGGGTTCTACATTAGGTCCTTTACTCTTTCTCCTTTACATAAATGATATTAGTATAGCCTCTAATATTTTAAAATTTCATCTTTTTGCAGACGATACAAATATACTTCACTCGAATAAATGCTTAAAAACCTTTGAAAGGGATATGAATAATGAACTAACAAAGCTCCATGATTGGTTCACTGCAAACAAACTTACCATAAAATAGTATCAAAAAATCAAACTTTGTTTTATTCCATTCAGCTCGTAACCAACCAAAACTTTCATTGAACATTAAAATATTGGATTATAAAAGTAACCAGTATATACAGCTTGAAAAAAAGGATTATGTGAAATATCTTGGTGTTTTATTAGATAGTACATTATCTTGGAAGCCTCATATTGATTATAAAGCAAAAAAGTAAGTAGAATAGTGGGTATTCTCAGTAGATTGAGACATTTTGCTCCAAAAAATACTCTAATCAAAATGTATAAATCCCCCTTACAGCTGCTCTTGATATATGGAATATGTACTTGGGGTCAAGCTTGCAAAAAGCTTACTGATAAATTGCTCATTCTGCAGAAGCGCGCTCTAAGGTCAATATTTTTCGTGAAATCAACTCAAAGGGCAATACCGATATTCACTGAACATAAAATTTTACCGATCAAATCTCTTTATATTTTTATTCAGTAGCACAGCTAATGTACGATGTTAAATATGATTATATTCCCAGTAATATTAGCAAACTCTTTAATTACATAAAAGATATTCACTCCTATGAAACAAGATCTTCTGCCAGTAATAATTTCTACACTAGACATTCACTTCTCGCGAGTGGGTGCACGTCTATGGAATCAAATACCACCTTTCATTAGGAGTTTATCCAAAAAAACTTCCAAAAGGAAATCGAAACCGTTTTATTAAACGATCTTAATATTAATCGCTATGATACTGAGATCTTCAAGCTTTTTAAGTAAGTCTATCTGTAATGAGCTATTTCTCATTTTCTACTCAGTGAACTACTTTTCTTTTCCTATTCAGCTCTTTGTACTCTGATTATAGCATTTATTTATCATTAACATATAAAGACATCTTTGTAAATCTACGTGTATATTCTGTGAATTTAACCTGTTTAGACTAGCTTTAGCTATATGCAGGTTATATAGTTTTTCTTTTTTGTATTCTTTTATTCATCAATAAAGTCTGGTAATATAAGATTAATAAAATTACTGTTTGTTGCATTATGCAGCTCCTGATTGTTCTCCTCAACTAACGTCTGCAAAAGCAGCCTCGTCCACAAGTATCAACGTCTCCTGGACTCCACTTCTTGGTAGAGAGTGTATTAATGGTAGGTTACGTGGTTACAAGGTAAAGTACAGTTTGTCAACAACAAGAACCACGGTTCAATACAGTACTACCTACAATCCCCAACAAATATCAGAAGTGGTGGAAAGACTTGAAAAATACACACGATACAGATTTCAAGTACTGGCCTTCAATGGCAAGGATGGTCCATATAGTAATGCAACAGAAGCAACTACCTTGGAAGATGGTATATAGATTGTGTTTATATTGAAAACAATATTTTAATGTGTAGCTTTAATGGATTGATATGGGTTGCGTAGCCTGCTCATTTTTCATCACGTGCACGCACTGTGGTTCCATAGGTTCGGTTTCCTGGTTCCAGCCATGTGGATACAAAATGTAAATTGAGTTTGTTTGTTGTATGTGTTATTCGTAATTAAACTCATGAATAATCATAAGCTCAACCCTGAATCAGAACTTTGTATTTGGTCAGGAGGATGAGTATTGATATTGGATCAAAAAATAAATGATGAAGACAGGGAAGATAGCAAATCAGAGTCCAGAGGAAGATCTTGATTTGCATTTCTAAATCTATGGCCTTAAAATAACAGACTTATACATAATATTTCTTAGTTTTATAAATAGAGTATAAGTTTAAAGTACCACTAATATAAAATTTTAATATCTACAATCTTTACTTTTTAAACACATGGTAAATTACTTCGCAAAAGAAGAAAACTGGCATTTTAAATTTCTTGTTAGGATTTTTGGTTCGAGAGACATTCAAAATTTAGGTTTATGCTAATCAGGAGGTTAATGACGTCATATTCTCAATTCACAGTTCCTTCAACATAGATTCCAGTATATCTATTGGGAGTATTTGAATAACATCCAAACTTTGCAGTATACTTGAATTTAAAATATGAAACATGAAAATACGCAAACTGTGGTTGCGATGGTAACACACTGGTGCCCAGACCTCTAACGACGATTTAAGCCTTTCAGCGATTGCTTTGATTTTTTTTCCTTTGAGCAGAAAATTGTTTGACTAATTTTTTTTCTATGTGCATAAGAGATATTTTGAACCTTATTCGATACCATTTCTCGTAAAGGCAGATATTTCAAAAAAACTGAATTTTAGTTGGGGTGGCCTGGAACAGAGGCTGTTGCTATGCCAACATATCTCTATAGCTACTTTTGAAGGAGAGCTAGAGTACTATAATGCTAGAAAAGTTGCTTGATTTTTGGCTGAGATATAGCTTATCATAATATATATATTTAGGCACTGCCTAAAAGCGGAGCTCTCGAATTTGAATGAAACTGAAAGGTAAAAATAAGACCGGAGGAAAAATCTTCAATTATTTCTTATTCGAGATAAAGATAATTTCTGCCATAATAAAAACCATGCAGTGAAATCGAAATGCCCTACTTTGTTTTTCGTTTTTCGTTTTTTTTTTTTTTTTTTTTTTTTTTTTTTTGCGTGAGTATACTCTCTCACTTAGAAATATTGTACACAACTCACCACCACCCCCAAGGGCTAGTTTTGTTCTTAGAAGATTCTTCGACAAAGTTTTCCAAGGCCGACAGTTTTAGGCTTTGAATCTCTTTTACTTAAAAAAAACGAAAGATAGCTACAGATAATCCAATACAATATCAAGTTTAGTGAAATTTACCTCGTATGTCTTTCATGGAAATCGAAAATCTGGAGATTTAGGACAAATAAAGACTAAAAACAGACTTGAAAACTGGCGGTTAAGGTGAGCAAAAAATAAGGTTTACTTAATTAGGTCTTTTACAGTTTTCCAAAAACAAAGCTTACATTCAGTTAAACTTGACAAGAACAACTGAGACAAAATAGAAAATAATGCAAAATGCAAAATGACTAATTTCTTTGTCAGTAAATTGGCATTTGTAAATGTTTTTGAATATTTTTTAGCTTTTTAAAGTGAAAGCCTAGGTCTTTATACAATAACATCTCTCAACAACACAAATTTTAGCTCATTTTTATAATCATACTTCCTCGAACAGCTTAATTAACAGTTGAATATTTGGTAAAAATTTATATTTCATTCAAAAATAAATAAATTATCGGTAGAAAGATATAAAATAATTGAATGAAAGTCTTCTTTGTTTTGCCGATGGGACCCCGCGATAGGAGGCGAGCAAAATTTTAACAACTATCATCGTGTAGTCGAGAATGGTGTAATCCCCTCGACGATTAGTGACCATCACATTGTCTATTGCACTATAAAATCTGGTRTTCCCAAAGKCGCACCTAAAACAATYGAATATCGATCCTATCGTACTTACGATGAGAAGTCTTTTGTTCGTGACCTTAAAGCAATCAAGTGGAACATCCTGGAAGAAAACGACGACTTCAATTCAGCTGTTGAATCTTGGGACCGCTTATTTTCGGAAGTCGCTAATATCCATGCTCCAATTAAGAAGGCCCGCATCAAAGGAATTCAGAGACCTTGGATGACTTCTGAACTAAAGAGTGCTATGCGTGACCGTGATTATCACCATCGGAAGGTGGTCAAAACAAATTCCGAACACCAATGGAATTTGTACAAGAAAACAAAAGCCTTTGTTAATAAATAACTAAAGAAGTGCAAAGCTGACTATTATCTTGATGTGATAAATAAGAACTAAGGGAACTCTAGTGCTCTATGGAAAACGCTAAATGATATCACTCAGCGCAAGTCTACTCCCCCTGTGTCCTGTATTGAGGTTAATGGTGTCTCTCGTACCAACACTAAATCGATCGCTAAAGTCTTGAACAGCCACTTCTCATCCATTGGATCCAAATTAGCTGACAAGATAAAATCAGGCCTGAATTATGTCTGAGAAAGCTGTTTGTCTTGTTCTGTCGATCCCAATTATAACTCGGAATGTTTTGTATTCCATCCAGTTGACGAATCTTTTGTATACAAACATCTTAGTTGTCTGAAGACCAATAAAACCATCGGCCTTGACAAGATCAGTGCTCGCCTTTTGAAAGACTCCGCTTCTGTTGTTGCTCCCGTTCTTACAAGTTTATTAAACCGTTCACTCCTGTCTTCAACTTTCCCTTCTATTTGGAGATCTGGTAAAGTTTCTGCTTTATTCAAGTCTGGTAATAGATGCAATTCTAACAACTACAGACCGATAACTATACTTCCTACAGTGAGTAGTATTCTAGGAAAGACTGTTTACTCTCAAGTATGCCACTGTCTTCTTGAAAAGAAATTCCCAAATCCTCGACTGTTTGGTTTCAGACCAAAGCTATCTACAGAAGTTGCCCTCGTAAACGGCTTCACTGATTTGGTTCTTCAGAACATGGACAAAGCCTTAGTTACTCGTGCTGTTTTTCTGGATTTGTCGAAAGCTTTCGACACCGTCGATCACTTGATTCTGTTCAACAAAATTTCCAAATCTGGTCTCTGTGACGTTGTCGTGGACTGGTTCAGATCATACTTGTCGCAAAGAAATCAAGTCACGGTGATTGGCAGCGCTGTCTCTACCGCAAAGCCTGTGTCCGTTGGAGTGCCCCAAGGGAGCGTGTTAAGGCCGCTGCTTTTCCTAATTTATGTGAATGATATGCTCTCATGTATCAAGTCCTGTGAGATGTCTTCATAAGCAGATGATAGAGTTATATATTGCTCCTCATCCAATATAAAGGATCTTGAAGATAATCTGAACGCTGACCTTAAATATTTATGCAATTGGTTTAATGACAATCTATTGACTTTAAATACAGACAAATGTAATTTTTTCATTATTTGGTAGCGCACGTAAGCTTAGCTCTTTCAATAATATTTCATTAGAGGTTAATGGTCATCCATTTGAGCGCAAAGAATCGTTTAAATATTTAGGTGTTACACTTAATGAAAATATGACCTGGTCTGACCATATAGATGCCTTAAGCTCAAAGGTCTGTCAGAGGCTCAGCATTTTGCGTCGCGTTAAGCATTTATTACCGCTGAACGCTCGCCTAACGCTTTACAATAGCCTTACATTACCGCTTTTTGATTATGCCGATTTAGTATAGGGTGATAAAAACAATGAAGTACTGATGCAACACCTTCAAATATCACAAAATAATGCTGCAATATTGATTTTAGATTAACCCAAGTACTTTTCTGCGACCTAAGCCCTTAATCATTTGAATTGGGAACCTTTAGATACCCGCCGCCGCCGCCATCGCTGTACAGCTGTATATAAATGCCTTAACAATATCATAGATTTTAATTTTAATTTTACTAGTAATTATAGTATTCATAATTATGATACACGCCGTCTTCAGGATTTACGATTGCCACGTGCGCGTACTAATTAGGGCAAACAGCGTTTTATATTTCATGCGGCCGCTGACTGGAACAATTTAGATATTGCTGTCCGACAGGCATCTAGCCTTATTGTTTTCAAATCGTTTTTAACATAAATTTTTTTAAATATATTTATAGTGATACGTAGATATATTTTATGCGCATTTCGATTGCTCCGTTTTTAGTATTAATTTGTATTTATATTTTTCATATTTATATTA